TATTGAGTTTCCTTATTCTTTATTTCTTTCAATGATGATTCACAAAGTTCTTTTGAATGTCGGATACCTACATCATCATCAACACAAGAATCTTTCCTCGAAAGTGGATCTTAATAATTTTCTAACTCATATTCTCCATTTGTTTATCTTGATAATCCATAATACCTAATAACATTGTAATTTAAATAGAAAAATAAACGTATTAAATTAGTGTTATAATGGTCTTCAACATGATTTCTATAATCAAAATATATAACTACAAATATTAATGTCAAATTAGAAACATAATTAGAGTGAACAATACCAAACGTGAAGTATGAGCACTAGTCCTAGCCTCTAGCAGAATACGAGAAAAATTGAAATCGCAGTGAGGGAGCATTTTATCAATCAAAGATAATACTGGAAACTTGCAAAATCGGTTTTGAATATTATCCCGTCTTATGTGTTGCAAACCTCTCATCTTCCCGAGAGTATTTATTTGTGTGGAGATTGAAAAGTTAACCTGAAACTTTATTTGGGGACATTCGGATACGAAAAAAAGGGTTAATTTGGTGAATTGGGGACAAGTTTGCCAACCTATTTCTCAATGAGTATTAGGGATTCGGAAAATGGTGGAACAGAATGAGGTTTTCCTGATGAAACTCGCCTTTTGCATTAGTTCCAATAAAAACCAACTTCGGGTAAAAGTTCTCCGGTCTAAGTATACCATGCCGATCAGTCTCCAACAGAATGGTTGCTCTCATACTTGGCGTGGAATTGCGGCAGTTTGGCCTGAAGTTTGGCAAAGTATTATATGGAATTTAGGTAGTGGGATGATGGTGGATTTCTGGAATGATGAGTGGGTCGATGATTTCGGACTTTTAATTGAGTATTGTGAAGGTAATCGACCATGTCTTGATGCTTTTGTATCGGTAAATTCAATGGTGCGCGGTGATAGGGATTGGAAAATGAATGAAATAAAACAGTTTTTTTCCGAGTCATATTCTCCTATATATTGCTGAAATTAAGGCCCTTTTGCCTTTAGGAGGAGAAGAACGCCCTGGGTGGAAGTTGGAGAAGAACCGCAGATTCAACACAGCTAGTGCCTATAACTACAGGATTGAGAAACTCAATAATACAGATCATGATTTGTGGAAATGATTCGCATGCTATAGGGGTCTTCCTCGAATTTAATGCTCTTGTGGCTTTTTTGTAATAACAGATTGCTAACAAATGCGGAGCGAGTTTGTCGCCATCTTTCAGATACCATGTCGTGTGAGATATGTGGTCATGTAATTGAAGATATCTCGCGTATTTTTAGAGGTTGTGTCGAAGCAGTCTCGGCCTTGTCAGAACTAATCAAACATGCCCTGCTTGATGAATTTTCCAGATGGATATTATTGAATGGGTTAAACTAAACCTAACAAATCCAATGCGCTTTCCAATCAAGGAAGAGAATTGGGATATTCTGTTTGGCTCCATCCTCTGGAACCTTTGGACGAGTAGAAACAAAGCTATTTTAAAGCCAGAATGTGTTGAAGGTGAGAGCATAGTTCGAAGGGGAATTTGCTTAATGAGGGAAGCTGTGCATGCTTTAGATCAGGCTAGATTGTATTGGACTCAATCTCCTGGTCTTTGAAGGAAGAATGTTCATTGGAAACCACCACCGGAGGGATAGGTGAAAATTAATGCTGACGGAACACGAAATCCGTGTACGGGACTATCAGTGTGGGGGTGTGATTCGAAATTCAAATGGTGATTGGATTATCGGTTTTTCGAAGTCACTCGGTCGTTGCTCGATTCTGGATACTGAATTACGAGGCATATATGAAAGCCTGCAACTGGCTTGGGAGATTGGTGTTCTCGGCATTATAGTTGAAACGGACTGCAAATAAGCTTTTAATCTTCTCCAACAACGTGAAGCAATGGAAGGTGGCTCTCATATAATTCCTCAGCTCTCATGGACGATTTGGTACAGGATGTATCGGCTTCATATTAAAATAAAAAGACCAAATAAGTTACTAATTTAAAAAGTATCATAATTAAAATATTTTTATTATTATCTGCATACATGATCATAAAAAACATAAGACCAAATTTATATTATGACATTAATTAATTTTATTGTGATTATATGATAATATAAAAATTAAAAAATTTCTTATAATTAATATTAAAAATAATTATAAAATATAAAATAGTTAAATCAATCTTGACATAATATAATAATAAAAATAACTTTTTATACTTGTTATTAATAACAATAATAAAAATTATGGGATTCGATATGCTGAAGAGGTGATACTATATGAAATAAATTTAAGTATAATGTCAAATAGCAAAGTATGCACGTGTTTTTAAAGATTTTGAAACAAATAATTACTACTTTAACTATCATTTCTTTGTCAACAATCTAATTGAATTAATAATATAATTAAAGCTTTACATTAAGACATAAGACATATAACAATATTCTATTTATAGATCGATACTCTCATAACACCACACCATTCCTATGCAATGATACAATAAAATTCATTCTAAGCTTTACCTTTATCTTTTTCTTTTAGCTTTTAAATAGAACTCTGTTACATAGTTAACGTTTTCTACAAATACTAGGCATAGTTCAGGTACTACTAACATTCTTAACACACACATATATATATATGTATATATATGCAGATATTGGACATATCTGGTCATGGCTTATGCCTTTACTTTTTGGATGTTCTATGCACTGCCCGTACCAAATTACGGTAAGCATAATTCAACTATTGAGTTAAAAAATTTATTTTACATGCCCTCCTATGCCTAGAAGAGATAAATTATTTATTTATTATTCAGTTTTTGTTTTGGTCACTCAATTATTATTTATTTTAAATCATACTTCATGTTACATTTTGATTTTGTTTTGGTCGCTAGTCTTTAAAAGATTAGCGATGATATTAACATATCATTATAAGACAATGCCATGACGTGATTGAAAATAATTAAAACAAAAATCATATTAACATCATTCTTTACTTTTTTTAACGGTAGGTTATCAAAATAGAACCAAATCGTAAGGTTGACTATGATTTTGGAAAATGCAATTCTTAACTTTTTAAAGGTACGTGGTCAAAATGGAACCAAATCATAAGGTTGATTATTATTTTGAAAAAAAAATAATTGTTAAGTGACCAAAATATAAATTATGTATTATGTGGAGTGACCAAATAGTTAATTTACACTAAATAAAAAATATGTGTGAATTATGTTAAGAAAATTATATTAATCCAATTAATATACATTTTCTAGATTTAATCCATATATATATATATATATATATTTATTATAATTTGAAATTAAGACCATATATGAATTATTTTGGATAAAAAATTTATTAAGTTTATATTGGCCGGTCCTACGAAATTTTTCTAGATTCTCCACTGTGCATGGCCCAAGCAATTATTAAGTTCAAAAGTAAAAACGGATGTCATATGGTATGTCTTGTTAGATTATGCCCAAATATCAATCATATAATGATTGTAATGATACATTTTATTTACCGATTTTATTGAATAAAGGCATTGCTGTTATTATTTTCAGTTATATATATGTGTTTAACATAAACTGGGAGATAATAAAGTTCATATAATAACATAATTGTTATTGTTAAAAGATCCCTAGTCAAGTATTATTATGGACATGGACAATAATAATACACTTAAGACTAACATGTTATTGATTGATGACAATGAGTTGTCATTGACATAGAGATGTCAAAATTGATACATGATTATATTGTTAGAGAACTATGTATTGGATTGACCCACCATGAGCATATGTCTTGGATTATTACGTGATAGTCATAACATTGATCATGGTGATGACTATATGTATGATCCTCAGACTTGAAATCAATGCTATCCTAACAAATATTCACTACAAGAAAATATATCTTTAATGACACACGAACGATGACACACGCTAATTTATGACTTACAAAAAATGTGTGTCATAAAAAAAATGTCATGTTTTTTTTAAAATCTGAACAATTTATTACTTACAATAATTTGTGTCATATTTAATAGTCATAATCCAAAAAAATTACAAAAACACGGAGTACACTTTTAATTGTGTGTCATCTGTAAAAGTGGTCTTTTAATTTCCCCCATTATTTTCATCATTTCCCGCTTCTAGTCCTAGCCTCCTCGATAATCAGTTCACACACGCATATGCTTCCCCCCTTTTTCTCTTTTTCCCTCCTACACTTGCTCATTCATTTTATTGATTGAATCCCAGTAAGCTTTCCTTCCTTGCTTCCTTCCAAAGTTTATTCATTTTCTTTTTTTTTGAACATTTATGGGGTTTAACTGAAATTTTGTTCTCCTTTCTTTTATGGAGATATGATTTATGGGTTTTGCTTGTGTTTGTGGCAGTTTTAATGGGTCTTATAATGGGTCAATCTCCATTTCTTATCTTCTACTACACGAATGTTTATATAATTGTTCCCTTTGGAATCGAAGTTTGATTCTTTTTTCGTAATGCTAAAAATCTGGATTTGAGTTGAGTTTTTGACGCAGGTCTGTTGATTTTTTTCATTAGAGTCACGAAGTAGCTGTCATTTTCATGATTCTCATTGTTTCAATTCAATGAAAAAAGCATTGTTTCTTGCTTTTACTGTTTTTTCATGGAAAATTCCTTTTCATTGCCTGGCTGTCAATCAACTGGTTACATGGTCGGCAGTTGGCATCATTTAGCATAATCGTTGCCTTTCTTTTTTTCATACGCCCACAATGAATAAGCTTCTAAACCATTTCTTGAGAAGTTTTCATTGAGGGGAAGGTATTCTTATTATCCTGACGTCCCATTTCTTGTGTCGAACAGAATGAACCCACATATTTTGAGTCACTCAACTCCGGGCTCAGTTAATTAGTGAATGTCTCATGTATTATGTCTTTATTGAGTTTTGAAATTTGTTTTCTAATTACTCTGCGAATGTTTACTGGCTTGAAGGTCATACACCACTTTCGTGGGTAATGAGGGTTCAGATTGCACTCAATGCTGCTAGAGGCCTGGAGTACATCCATGAGCACACTAAAGCTCATTACGTTCATCGAGATACCAAGTCGAGCAACATTTTGCTCGATAGTTCTTTCAAGGCGAAGGTTCTAATTACGTTAAATGTTGTTGCTTCTTTTTTTAAGTGTGTTTGAGAACATTTTACTGACTTTTATTCTCAGATTAGATTTCAGATTTTGTATTGTCGAAGCTTGTTGGAAAAACACATGAAGAAGTAACAACAACAAAAGTTGTTGGTACATTTGGTTATTTGGCACCAGAGTAAGTAATGTTATTGTTCTCTGTCACTCTGCTTCTTCAATTTTCTTGAAGTACTCACATTAAGTACATGTTTCTGGAGCATATTGCGATTAAGAGTAAGGGGATACGACCTTCCAGAGACTCGTATCGAGCACTCGATATCCAAATCGAGTAATACAGATATTGATAGTTTGCTTCTCTTTTGCTAAATGCTATTGTAAACTCTTTTAACTGTCCCATTTGGTTTTCTTATATATATTTGAGCAATGGACTTGCATCGTCGAAAAGCGACGTGTATGCATTTGGTGTTGTGCTGTTTGAGATCATATCTGGAAAGGAGGCCATCATACGAACTGAAGGCACCACGACAAAGAATATTGAGAGACGTTCACTGGCATCCATTGTGAGTTCCATTGTAGCGCAATCTAAGATGTTAGATGTTCCTCCATCTTGTCTTGTACATTCTAGTACCCTTTTATACTGCAATTTTGTAGATGTTAGCAACTCTTCGAAACACACCAGACTCAGTAAGCATGTCGAACATGGATTATATCGATCCAAACATGTTGGATCTTTTTCCTCATGATTGTGTCTTCAAGGTAAATATCATTTCCATATTATACCTGAAAAGGCTAGAAAATGAGTAGATAGGACTCAAATTGGTGTTCTGGTTCGGAATCGATTTGCTTATTAGGTGGCTATGCTGGAAAAGCAATGTGTGGATGAGGATCTGATTGTACGACCTGACATGAAAGAAATAGTGATAAACATGTCACAGATCCTTTTGTCATCAGTTGAGTGGGAAGCGACGCTGGCCGGGAACAACCAGGTATTTAGTGGTTTGGTCCAAGGAAGATAGTTAGAGTTGTGCTAAATGATACTCCAGGGGAGACAAAACAGTAATATATCAGAATGTTGGCATTTGGACAACATTCTTTTTGATGTAATATATCTGTATGTTTGCTTGTCAATCTAAGGGATCCACAACGACCCATATGCAAGGTACTCAATCTGTTAAAGACAAACACCGTTCTTGTAGGAATTATGATTTCAAGGTGTCTCACGTGATATTATAAACCATAAATGACCAGAAAGAAAAATTCTTAGTTCTGGTTAACCCCAAAATTATTAGTATGTCTCTGAAAGGTTTTCGTTGGCTCTTAACTTGAAGTATGGCTACTGCGTGTTGTTTCTGCAGATCGGAGATTTTGGATTATCAAGAATCAAACGCAATACTCTAGTTTCTGGAGGTGTGCGAGGAACTTGCCATGGATGGTGCCAGAACTTCTAAATGGTAGCAGCACCAAGGTTTTTGAAAAGGTCAGTAAAGCCATATTCAAGTATATATGTCTTGCCACTGGGAAGGGAAAAATGAGTACACGTTAAAGCCAAATTTATGAATATTTAATTTGACAGGTTGATGTATTCTCGTATGGAATTTCAATGTGGGAAATCTTGACTAGAGATGAGCCATATGCTGATATGCATTGCGGTGCCATCATTGGTAAGATTTTGATTTACCAATATGCTAATAGCCCTGATTAGTGATTATGAATGGAAAATATACATGCATGGAAAAGTCATTGATGATCAATCAAATGTTGTTTCATTGAAGATGAAGATCACAAAAGGTTTATGTGAGTTTTAGGGTATAAGACTACATTTGCTCTTGCTCTGTAATAATATAAAACAACATCCCAAACAACTCGTGTATAAATTGAAGCCATATCAAAAACTGCATATAGTTAACCATCTTTCCTTTCCAGTTTTTCACTCTGTCTGAAAGCTAAATAAAAACCTTCTGTTTGATTACTGAATTATGATTGCAGGAGGGATCGTGAAGAACATGCTTCGACCTCCTATTCCAGAATGTTGCCATCCTGATTGGAGGAAGCTAATGGAACAGTGCTGGTCTCATGATCCTGAATCCAGGCCATCATTTACTGAGATAACAAATAGGCTGTGATCCATGTCCATGTTGCTTAAGCCGAAGGGAGCTACTAATCAGGCGAAACCAACAAACTTGAAGTGTTGGTCAATAAGAATGTAAGCAAACTTTTCTAATACACATCTGTCATATCATACATACACATTAGTTATACAACTATCATATGGACTTGAAGTAGGATGTTATTCTAAACAAATTAATGCAAGTACTTGTTAGCAAGACTGAAAACTGTGAATTCGTGCCATGATAATGTATATAATTTATATGGGAAGTTTTACTAATTAAATGTGTAAAATTTATTTTTTACATATGCTTCAAAGAATGCATATCTAAAATTGGTCATTTTAGTACTCTTTGATAGTTATATACTTCACTTTAAATAAGTATAAATTATATACTTATTTCATATTTTTTTACTTAGGTTGGCGATGGGAAGGAAGAATACACGGATGATGACATTGATGATATTCGCAAAGAATTGGTATCTTATGTGGCAAACTTTATTATGCCATGATATTTTGTATCGACATATGATTACAATATTTTTGATAACTTAATGTGAATATATTGTATGCAAATGGATTGTTTATATATAATATGATATATATATTTAGTATTATGAGGCATTAAATGTGATTTAGTTTGATTATTTGTCAATCTACAATATATATATATATATATATATATATATATATATAATTTACGAAATACAATCACGACACATGAATGTGTCATCCTTTTTAATGACGTGTTCTTCAATGACACACAATGTAAGTCATAAATTTATGACACACAAGTGTGTGTCATCTTCATTTATGACGGAGGCTTCAATGACGCTCAATGCGCGTCATAAATGTATGTCATAAATGCGTGTCATAAATGCGCGTCATAGATTTATGACACACAATTGCGTGTCATCTGAGATTTATGTTGGTGGCTTCAATGACGCGTATTTGTGTGTCATCTGCACCCATAAATGACGTGCAATGAGCGTCATTAAAGGGGTTTTTTCTAGTAGTGATTGTTGTATGTTTTGATGCAGTTAAGCATGCTCCGTAATTTTGTTTCTCTATAAAGACTGTTATTGAATATATCTTGATATATGTAGTGGGTGTGTATGATTAAGATAGGATTTGTCCGTCCTACATGATAGGAAATATATCACAGGTCACTTGATTGAGTGAGACTAGAAATGCATGGCCATGCTTGAATAAGTTGATATGATATGTCACAAATTATTCGTTAATTAAAGTCTACTCTAGATATCAAGAAACAATAGGTGGGCTATACAAGTGTGAGTATTCCAAGACTTGTGCCTATTCTAGATATAAATGACAAAAGGATGTAATACATAAAAGAGTTAATCACGAAGATGATATGTCGAATCATATTTTCTTGTAACTTAGGTGACAATGATATATTGATATATGTCACTCATTGTATGTAATATTAGAATTGTTCTAATAATTATTGCTAACGTTAAAAGAACCTACAGGGTCACACCCTAGAATTGAAACGAGAAAAGATGTACAATATATTGTACGTTACTAAAATATGTCTAGAGTTAATATATGTATATTTGATATACATATATTTTAATTATCCTAAATATTTAATTTAAATTAATTAAATAAGGATTTAATTAATTTGAAATAATAAAATCCCTAATATGTTAACGTAACTTGGATATAAAAGGAGATGTAAGGTCTAGCAGCCGTTTTACACATTACCTTCAGCCGATTTGCTCAAAATAGGTTTAGGAAAAGTAAATATTGCTCTCAATCGGGTGAGCTGAGTAGAGGCCGAGACGTGGTTTCATGGAGGCTTACGATTCAAACCAATCGGCACAACCATTAGCCGTTGCTGTCCTTATTGTTTTTCAAGGAACCCGTTGTAAGTATTTGCATCATTTCCTCCCGATTTCAGTTTATCATACCTGGATCACTGGTGAGACCGTCAAATTTTTTATTTTTGCTTTACCATGGAGTGAGCCGATGGTCTCTAAAGTGGTATCAGAGCCACTTGTACGATCCGAATTCGGCATAAATTCTTGGTTGATGCGATATGTATGAGATGAATGTTCTAGTTTTATCATTTTTTAACGAATATGTATGATATTATTGTTTGATTCGATAACCACAACAATTAATATGTTAATTTGTTAATCTATTTTTTACAATTTGTATGTTGCTGCAAGGATTTTACGAAATCCATATGTCTATTGTTGATATGATGATCCATGGGTGTGCGATAGTAGATCGCGTTTAGTAGTGGGACAATGGTTGTTCCGATGCAGAAAACCTTCGGGATTGAAAATCCAAAAAACAGGATTCTGTTGATAACCATTATCAAATCGTGAGGTTTTTCTATAGAAACAAAGGTACTATTTAAAAAAAATCCCACCGACCGTTGCGGTACGGTCGATGCTCGTTAGGGGCTTCCCCCCAGACTCGCAAAGGGTTTCACCCCTTGACCCTTCATGAGAAGTATAGATTATAGGTCAATATTAGTATTTTTTAATAAAGGTATTAGATACCTATTGTGGTTCTCATATTTATACTTTTGTACAAGGACTGCAAAAGAGAATGAATTTGGCTAAAGGAGACGTGGACCTACGAGTAGGAAATGGAGCAAGAGTTGTTGTATTAGCTATTGGGACATATGTTTTATATTTGCCTATTGGACTTGATTTAAATTTAGAGGATTGTTCTTTTGTGCCTAGTTTGACTAAGAACATTATTTCTATCTCTTTTATGGACAAGATTGATTTTGAGATTATTATTAAGAATAATTGTTGTTTTTTTCATCTCGATAATATTTTTATGGTTCCACACAATTGGTTAATGGTCTCTATATTTTGGATCAAGAAAACACCATTTCTAACATAAATACTAAAAGATCAAAAATAAATGACTCTAATCAAGCTTATCTTTGGCATTGTCGTTTAAGCCATATAAGTGAGAAACACATATCAAAACTCCATAAAGATGGATTCTTAGATTCATTTGATTTCAACAATATGATGTATGTGAATCTTGCTTGTTAGGAAAAATGACTAAAGCTCATTTTAATAGTAAAGGTGAGGGAGCAAGTGATTTATTGGGGTTAATACATAGTGATGTATGTGGACTGATGAATACGCAAGCCAGAGGTGGATTCCATTACTTCATTACTTTCACCGATGACTTTAGTCGGTATGGGTATATTTATCTTATGAGCCATAAATCTAAAGCCCTTGAAAAGTTTAAGGAATTTAAAAATGAAGTACATAATCAACTAGGCAAGGGTATTAAGGCACTTCAATCAGATCGAGGTGGAGAATACATAAGCATAGAGTTTAATGAACTCCTAAAAGAATGTGGGATTATCTCACACCTTACACCACCTAGTACACCACAGTGGAATGGATTTTCTGAAAGAAGGAATCAAACAATGTTAGACATGGTTCGATCGATGATGAGTCATAGTGATCTTCCAACTTTGCTTTGGGGAGATGCAGTTGAAACAACCGATTTCACTCTAAATCGTGTTCCATCTAAATCGATTCAAAAGAACCATACGAGATATGGACTGAGAAGCATCCTAATATGTCTTTTATGAAAATTTGGGGTTGTGAAACTTATGTAAAACATCATATGTCCACAAATCTTAAACCTAAAACTCATAAGTGTATATTTGTTGGATATCCTAAAGAAACTAAGGGATATTATTTCTTCAACCCTAATGAAAACAGAGTGTTTGTTGCTCGAACGAGAGTTTTTATCGAAAGATAATTTCTCTCAAAGAAAGAAAAAGGTAGAAATATTGAACTTGAAGAAGTTCTAGAACAACAAATCAATGAACCTAAAGCTGAGCATGTTTCACAAGTTGTTGAGGAACAATCAACATATTTAGAAACACAACCACTGCGTAGATCCATAAGAGAACACCATGCACCTGAGAGATTTGGATTTCTTGTTACCACGCATGAAGATGTTCTTCTTATGGATCAAGATGAACTAGGACTTATCAAGAGGCAGTGTCTAGCCCAGACTCTGAGAAATGGCTTGAAGCCATGAGATTTGAGATGAATTCCATGTCAGTATAACCAAGTGTGGACTTTGGTTGAACTACCTGGTGGGGTCAAACCTGTAGGGTGTAAATGGGTTTTCAATAAGAAAACTGACATGGATGGTAATATACAAATATACAAATGGCGATTAGTTAGCTAAAGGTTTTCAACAAGTTCATGGTGTAGACTATGACGAAGCATTCTCCCTTGCAACTAAGATTAAGTCCATCCGGATCTTGCTCGCAATTACTACATTCCGTGATTATGAAATCTGGTAAATGGATTTCGAAACCACTTTCCTTAATGGAAAACTCGAAGAGGATGTGTATATGACACAACTGGAATGTTTTGTCGCTTTAGGAAGTGCTCGAAAGGTTGGTATGCTACATAGGTCTATTTATGAACTAAAGCAAGCTTCTCGAAGGTAGAATATTCGTTTCAATGATGCAGTCAAAGAATTTGATTTTATCATAAATGAAGATGATCCTTGTGTTTATAAGAAGGCTAGTGGGAGTATTGTTTATTTCCTAATCTTGTATGTTGATGACATACTCATCATAGGAAATGATATACATACTTTACAATCTGTTAAGACTTGGTTAGGTAGTTGTTTTTCTATGAAAGATTTGGGTGAGGCAGCGTATATCTTAGGAGTTAAGGTATGTAGAGATATATAAAAACAACTTTTATGTATGAGTCAAAGCACATATATAGACAAAGTACTGAAAAGGTTCAGGATGGAAGAATCCAAAAAAGGATTTTTGCCTATAAGACATGGCATTTCTCTTTTGAAGGAAATGTGCCCTTCAACTCTGCAAGAAAGACAATGGATGAATAAGATTCCATAGGATTCAGCTATTGGTTCTATCATATATTCCATGATATGTACTCGACCAGATGTATCACATGCTTTAAGCATGACAAGTCGTATCAGGTAAACCCTGATGAAAATCACTAGGTTACGGTT